CTGTCTGTGCTTGTCTGCTGGGTGGGGGGATGCGGGCGGGGGGACCCCTCCCCAGGCCGGTGCCTTGGACACAACGCGAGCCTCTTCTCTGGACTGGGGGGGGGTGAGGTTGCAACTCCCTCCCCCCTTTGCCTGTCCAGCTTGGTGCATTTAGGGAGGGCTGTGGTCAGCCCATCGCCACCTGGCAAACCTGCACAACCAAGGTTTTTTATACTTTTTTCTACGTGTTCCGTTTCTCCCCTCTTTCTCCCCGAACCTCGGCCAAGCACAAACCTAACCCAGGGTGGGGCCGCCTCTGGCACTCACCGTACAGAAGGGCTTTGGCGGTGCAGGGGGGGTCCTTTGCGGCCCGGGCTGCATCTGCGTCTCTAACCACTGTGAGCTGAGCCTTGCCGCTGCCACCTTTCTTACTTCAGTATTGGACTGTTTTAACCTTTTAATAAAAGCCTTTTGTATCGTGCTCCTGCAAGAGAGGGCTGCCGTGGCGTTATTTATGATGCTTGACAGTTGCTCTGTCTGGCCCAAAGAGCCTTGCAGCTGAACGGACAAAGAAACCCTCGCCTAATAAGAATAATATTTCATATTTGTACCCAGCTGAGTGTGTTTCAAAACATCAAACGTTAAAAACTTCCCTATCCAGGCTGTCGATGCAGTAAAACCAAAGGGGGGGGGAATACATTTAAAACATCCCACCCACTTCTAAAAGGTCACAGGCCTGGTTCTAGAGGAAAGCTTTTGCCTGGTGCTGGGCGAGTCTCCCTGAGCAGAGCATCCCCCAAACGGGGCCACTGCAGAAAAGGCCTGTTCTCGTGATGCCACCCTCCAGGCCTCTGGTGGGGGGGCACACACAGATAGGAAGAAGGGGTGTGTGGGTGACTTTGAGCCTTTCTGCAGAGGACAGAAAAGAGACAAACAGAAGAAAGCGGCTTTTCTGCTCCTGTGGAGGGTAGAACTTGAACCAGTGGTTTAAAGCAGAGCTTTCCAAACTCTGTGTCGCAACACATTATTGTGCCGGCTGCAGTGGATCGGCGTGTCTTGCGAATGCTCCCTACGTTTCTCCAAGGGCTGGAAATGGGTTAGTTTAACCTCTGGTTAACCTGACTGTAGCCTTACTGTACAGTCATACCTCATGTTACGTTGTGCATTTTCAGGTTGCATCCCACGGCGACCTAAAAGTACCGGAAAGGGTTACTTCTGGGTTTTGCCACATGCACAGATGCGCAAAATGTCACCACACGTATGCACAGAAGCGGCGAATCGCGACCTGCGCGTGCGCAGAAGCGGGTTGCGTTCTTTTCAGGTTGCGAACGGGCCTCGGAACGGATCCCGTTCGCAACCAGAGGTACCCCTGTGTTGCAAAATGATGCTGGTCTGAAAAGTGTGCCGCCAGCGTGAACAGTTTGGAAATCTCTGGCTTAAAACTTACAAGGGGATTCCGACGACACATCAGAAAGGAAGGTGGCAGCCTCTCCTTCCTCTGAGGTTTCTAAGCAGACGTCGGGTGGCCATCTGTCAGGAATTCCTGCATGGCAGGGGGTTGAACTAGATGGCCCTTGGGTGCCCCTGCCATGATCTGCCTTTCCAGCTGCTGGAGGGCAGGCAGGTGAAGAGAGGCCTTTGCAGTTGAGGATGGAGGAGGAGGAGGAGAAGGTGGATTGGGGCGGGGTCTTCCATCTCTCTTAAGAGCCATGCAGTGAGGCTGCCCCTCAAGTCAATGAAGCTCTGCCATGTTTGAGAGGAACAGGAAGCAGTGCGGGTTCAGCTTACACTTGAGTAGGACCCTGGCAGAGACACCTGCCCGACTGGCATGTTCTCTTCCTCCTGGTCGATTGTTCGGGAGCTTCATAAGCTTTCTTCTGCCCGAACATCACAGCGACCGATGCCAAACGACACTGGCACACTTGGGGATCCACAGAGTTTGCACAACTTGTGTAACGGACCTCAGCAACTCAGCATTTTGGCTAATCTACTTTATTTACATATCAACACACACGGAGCACTGCAACATGGCTCCCTCTCTCTCTAGCATCAGACAGCAAAGAGGGGAGAAAACCACAAAGGACAATAGCCCCACTTCACGGAACACAGTAACACAAACATCCTGTCTCCGTCACTTCCCACTCTGTGGAGTCAAAACATATACTGTCATGTGATGGACAACAATCCCATGACTGCAGGAATTCTAACAGAGCTCCCCCTGCAGCCATTCCTGCTTCCCTCTTCCCCTCCGCATGCTTGTTTGGAAAATGGAGGCAGGAAGGTTTTTCTCCCTCTCTCAGAAGACTGGGACTCCTGGACTGCCCAAGGAAGCCAAAGGCTGGAAGAGTCAGGACGGGTGAAAGGAACAGTGGAACTCCTGCCTGCAGGAGGCAGGCGACCTGGATAGTTCTACAAAGGGGAAGAGGGCTGGAGGCAGCCACGCTTCTGGATATCGCCTGCTGGAAACTGCAGGAGAGGAGAGAGGATGTTCTTTGTGCGCATGACAGCATGAGTGGCTGAACCCCTGCTTGTTTATGAGAACAGGGTGCTGGGGGCTGGACTAGATGGCCACTGGGGTCCCTTCCAACTCTGCGGTTCTATGGCCTCATCCAGCAGGGCTCTTGTATGAAAGGGCATGCAGAGGGGAGTCGACCCCCATGGGTGCTTTGCCCGTCTGCATCCCTCCATTTTTCTAGGGAGCAGGGTCTCTGCCTTTTGCCTTCTCCGGAAGCCCTTCAGGCTCAGTGGCAGAGGGAAGAGAGAAATCTTGGCTGGGGCTGAAGTCATGAGTGCCTTGCTCCACGGAGCACCTGATTTCCCTTGGCAAGCCGCCTCTTCTTCCAGGGCCTGCAGCTGCCTTCTGGCCCTGAGGGGCTTGGGCTGGAGCTGCAGAACAGCCCAGAGAGGAGCCCCTTCCCCAAGGCTCCTCCAAGCAGCTGCCCCCCCCAGGCCCCTTGATGTGGGCAGAGGCGAGAGGCCACTTGGTTTGCAGGAATCCTTTGCTGCCATGAGCCGCCTCTAGAAGAGTCCTATAGGAGGAGGAGGGGGCTGCCCAAAGGCCTGTGCAGGGAGAAATGTGATCGGAGCCGTTTATAGCTGGCCTGGCTGCTTCCAGCCCTGCACGCTGTTGCAACACTCTGCCAAAGTTGGCATTCCTCCACTTGCGCACAAGCTGCCCTTGGAGTTTGGCCCAGAGGCTCTTCGGTGCTGTTCTGTGCAGCCAGGAGGGAAGCGCTGGGGTCAGAGGAGCCCCGTCCCCTTGGTCCCCTTTGACCTGGGGGGGGGGAGTCCCTGGAACGGCGGCTCCTTCCCCCAGTCTCTCCCCTGGGGAAGCGGAGCAGCAAGGCCAGCCTAGATGTCCCCCCACTGTAACCCGAGAGGCAGCGACGTTGCTTAAGGGAGCCACAGGGCAGAAGGGCCATGTTAACGGAGAAATCTGAGGGCTCCCTTGGACAAAAAACAAGGACACCAGCCAGGAAGACCAGAGCAAAACAGCAGCCAGTAGGCCTGGTCTTGATTGAAGACTGTTGCAACAGGACTCCCACCTGCCACCAGGTGGGACAAGATGGCAGCCCTGTACAAGAGAGAACACAAACGTTTATTAGCTGCTGATCCCCATGTTACCCCCCCCCAACTACATCACCAATACATCATGGTTACATCATGAAAGGGGAGATCTGAGCATCCTGGACCCTGCCCCATGGTTCTCCTTGCCCTCCACCAAACACCCATCAAGTTAAACAAAAAAGATATTTACATTTCCCTGTTTCCCAGCCAAGTTCATCCCACCCTTCTGTCTCCATCTGGGTTTGTTATTTCTGGAAGGGCTACCTGTCTGGCACTCAGGTATCAGGATGCCAGGGATTATCCCTCAGGCAGAGGGGCTGCTGAGGAGCTGAGCTCACAGGTCTATATGAATTTCTGAAGTTTTCCCTGTGAGCCAGTACATAGATCCATTGATCAGTGAATTCTTACATTTGGTATTCTGCAGCAGAGGCCCTTTGAATAGATAGGAAGAAACTGTGATGAAGTGTTTTCTGGGGACAAGTCACAAAAGTGATTGTGCTGATTTTGGTAGTGGGCTGCATGTGCGTGATATCTGCTGGAGGGGCAACCCCCCCAACCTATACATAAATTCCTGCAACAGTCATCTGCCAAAAGCAATGTCGGACACGGGAGGGGGCTGTTTTTTCTCTGGCAGTTATATGCATTCCCATTTTGCAGCAGGATAAAAGAAGAGCTGCCCAAAGTCCTGGAAGCCCAAGGCTGAGCTGTGACTTGTGCTGCACTCGGCTCGCACTCCAGTGGGCTGGCACCTTATGCCAGGGTCTGGTTCTGGGGGTGCGCATTGTTTTGTTGTTTAGTAGTTTAGTCTTGTCCGACTCTTCGTGACCCCCTGGACCAGAGCACGCCAGGCCCTCCTGTCTTCCACTGCCTCCCACAGTTCGGTCAAACTCATGCTGGTAGCTTCGAGAACACTGTCCCACCATCTCGTCCTCTGTCGTCCCCTTCTCCTTGTGCCCTCCATCTTTCCCAACATCAGGGTCTTTTCCAGGGAGTCTTCTCTTCTCAGGAGGTGGCCAAAGTCTTGGAGCCTCAGCTTCAGGATCTGTCCTTCCAGTGAGCACTCAGGGCTGATTGCCTTCAGAATGGAGAGGTTGGATCTTGCAGTCCATGGGACTCTCCAGAGTCTCCTCCAGGGGGTGCGCATGCAGAGGCCAAATGGGGCACAGCCAGGAAACCCCCCAACCGCTCCCAGAATGACCATCCCTACAGGTCTGGGGTGTGCCTTGCCCTCTGCCTCACTGGCCTCTGGGAAGAGGGTGTGAGGTCTCAAAATTGCCCTTTCTGACTCCCCATTCATTCGTTTTCCTGCCTCCCATGCAAAGCTGCAATTGCGCAAGTTTGTGAGACCGCCGTATGCACACACACACACACACACACACGCTGTGGCCGTGGCACTAAGAAGCAAGAGGCATTTTCCCTTTCCAAAACCAGACAAATGCTTCCACGCCGGTGACTAGCGGTTAACATCTTTATTCATCTAGCAAAACACAGTTCAGCTCGTAGACAAAAATGGAGAAAACTCTGAACAAAAAACTCGTGTGAACAACAATACATTTGCGACCTGACTTGCACCCACGGGATACCCTCCTGGGGGCTTCTAGCTGCTCTTGGGCCAGGGGAACCTGCCACTCTCCAGTCTGCCAGGGACTAGGGCGGGATGTGGAGTCCAGCACCCTGGGGAGAGCCAGGGACCTGCCCCCTTCCTGCCAGGAAGGGGGGGAGGGACTAGTCCTGCCCTGCCACTGGGGTGCAAGAGGCTCCTGGTCCTCGGCTCATTCTCTCTACCTGGCACAAGAAACAACCTAATATGACTCCCTGCCCCTCGCATGGTTGGTTTGAAGAACTGTGGCTCAGCTTCTCCTTTCCATTTCTTGCTACAGCAATAGAGGTAAAAAATAAATAAATGTGGCCACCGGTAGGATGACCCTCCTGTGTAGCCTCTCCCGGTGGGAGGCAGAGAACAGCAGGGCTGAGCTGTGGCCCAGCTGGGAAAACTAGTGCCCCCCACCCCAAGCAAGAGGCGGCTGCAGGGCAGGGGGCAAGGCCAGGGTCTCCCACCAGCACTGGGCCCGTTGTATCTGGGAGAGAAGCTGTAGGAGGGCCAGGCCTGGGGGGGGGCGTCCTTTCAGAATTATGCCCCCTCCGGGCCAAGCGCCACTTCAGCCGGGACCCCAGCACCCCGTGGGTCTGGGTGATGGGAGCCCACTTCTATCAGAGACAGCTGCCAACTTTTATCAGGGGCCAAGCACCACCTTTGACAAGTGCCTTTCTAATAGGAGGAGGAGGATATATTACTAAGATATGGGGGGCAGGTAGGGGACGCAATCATTATTCCGGCCTGCCCCCATTTCTCAGTGCCTGGGCAGTTTCTTCTCTGCACCCCCCCCCCAAGTTCTTTGGGTCTGTGAGTGTGAGGGCCCTGGGAAATATTCTCGCCTGGGCAAGGACGGTGGTGTCCCTGGTTCTGGAGCCAGAGGAAGTGGTCTGCTGGGGGGGGGGGGCAAGGCAGAGACAGCAGCTCCTTGGGGCTTTGAATAGCATGACGGTGAGAGCAATGCGGGGGGGGGGTCGCATGTGGATTTGTGCTCCCCGCCTTGCCTGGCGTGCAGACAGTGGATGGGAGTGTTTTTGGGAGCTGTGGCCCTAAAGTGGGGAGGCAAGTTGGGCCCCTGACGCCTGTTCCCTGAGCCCCCTCTGCAGGATGCCCAGAGAGCCTCTGCTTTGTCCGCCCCCCCCTCCAGGCCTGCCTCCAGATGGTCCCCTCCTGCGGCCAGGAAGGGCTACGCCAGGACATAGTGGATTATCTCACTGAGCTCAAAGCCGGTGACCGCAAAGGCACTGCCCTCGGGGTTGCAGAAGCGGGCGCCGCAGATCATGGTGTCTGTCACGCATTCTGAATGGCAGTGCTGAATCTGGGGAGAGATGGGGGGCACCATGTCATTCTGGGTGTCCCCCGTAGAGGAACTCCCTGACCCCCATCCTCTGGCAGGGCCAGGAAGGGAGCAGTGGGCTTGCTGCAACTCTTCTGCTTCTGACTTTGGCACCAGCGGGGGGACGGGGACGGGGGGGATAAGCCACCCAAATCCCTTTCATCCTCTCCCCCCCCCCCCGCTGCCCTTGGGAGGCCCTGGGCTCCCGCAGCCTCCGTCCTCTGCCCTCTAGACCTGCTGCTCAGCTTAAAGCAAACGAGGATGTTGCTTCATCGCTGTGCAGTTCGTTTGGAAACGGATTGGGGAGGAAGCACCCTGTTATTGGGGGGGGGGTGTTGGGCTGCCATGGGAAGGGCTAAAGCTCAGGGGCAGAGAGACTGTTCTGCATGGTAGAAGGTCTCAGATTCAATCTCGAATGGCATCTTGCAGGCAGGCTTGGAAGGGGACCTTGACTGAAATCCTAAAGGGCTGCTGCAAGCCAGTGTTGACAGCACTAGGGATGGTAGCAGAGCTGTCAACTTTCAGATTTGAAAATAAGGGATCAGCAGCCTCACCTGCCCTGGGGACAGCCTACGGGATATGTAACAATCCAGGATAGCAGCGGGAAACGGCGCTGGAATAAGGGAATTTCCCGCAAAAAAAGGGGAGGTTGACAGCTATGGATGGTAGACGGATAGGCTGGCTCCGTATAAGGCAACTTCCTGTGTTCCTAGGAGGGGAATGTTCCTGGATGGCAGGGGGTTGGACTAGATGGCCCTGGGGGGTCCTTTCCAACTCTCTAATAATAATAATAATAATAATAATAATAATTTATATATATATATATATGCAGGTTTTGGTGTCCTCGGGTGTCTTCCCGTGTAAAAGTTGGGGTGTCTAGGCGACGTTTCGACGAGGTCTCACTCGTCATCTTCAGGCTGGTGCTTTCGGCTTCTTGTTACTGGAACAGAGCAGGATCTCTGCTAATTTTATCTGTAGTGCCCTTGATATAAGGAAGGAGGGCCATGCCATTGTTTTCTTCTGTGTCTTGGTTTTTGGGGGGTGTTTCTTTTTGGATTAGATTCGTAACCCTGTTTTGCTGGTATCCATTGGCGATTAACACATTTGAGAGATTCTGTAACTCAGTTGTCAAGTGGTCTTTGTCAGCCAGGCGTTTGGTTCTGGAGATGAGAGTCTTGGCTACGGAGTTTATTTGTGCAGGGTGGTGGTGTGATTGTGCATGTAAGTAGCGGTTGGTGTGTGTTTTTTTCCGGTAGATAGTGTGTCCTAGGGAGCCATCAGGTTTTTTGTAGATTAGGACGTCAAGGAAGGGAAGTTGGTTGTTGGCTTCTATTTCCATAGTGAATTGTATTTTGGGGTGTAGGCTGTTGAGATGTGTGAGGAAGCTTATATCAAGGGCACTACAGATAAAATTAGCAAAATCCTCCATAAACACAATATCAAAACAGCCTTTTGCACCAACCAAAAAATAGCCAATATCCTCAGAAACCCCAAGGATAAAATCCAGTTGGAAAACCAAGGGGTCTATGAAATACCCTGCAAAGTCTGCCCAGCCACGTACATTGGACAAACAAACAGACGAATAAATGCACGTATCGCAGAACACAAGAATGCCGTCAAAAAAGAAGAAAAAACTTCCTCTCTTTTCCAACACATGAAAGAAACAGGACACGAAATTAATTTTGCAGACTCCAAATTGCTCTTTAACATGGAACATCACCACAAGAGAATAATCATGGAAGCCATCGAGATAGAGAAACACCCTCACAACATGAACAAGCGTGACGACACATCCCGCCTGCCAGACATCTGGAAATTAGCCCTCCCCACAAAAACCGACACCAGATCCAGAGGCACACAGAACGCCATCACCAATCAACCACACCAGACCCAAACCCAGACCCTCTCCACAGATAAATTACAGACACCATCCAGTAGCCAAACCATGGTGGCACCTCCGGATGCTGCACCCCCCTGCAATCCCTACACAGATCTGGCTGGCACAGGACACAAAACCACAGCTCGCCCCTATACACGAAGCCAAGCCAGAGCACAACTAAGTGCAGTACAGCCATCTTCTCAGAAAAACTCTTCACAAAGCTCAAGAGGTCAAGACACGAAGGCTTTAGCAACTAATCCACACCTAATGACCCACCTAAGTGGTACTCAGAATATCACTCAAGAAATCACTCAAGATATCCCTCAAGTAATTAAGGAACAAAAGAAGAAAAGGCACACTAGCCTGGGAACTTCCTCTCTGCCCAGAACATTGGAGGCTATACACCACACCCCCTCAACAATATTTATAGGAACTCAAACACTGAGATCCTGCTCTGTTCCAGTAACAAGAAGCCGAAAGCACCAGCCTGAAGATGACGAGTGAGACCTCGTCGAAACGTCGCCTAGACACCCCAACTTTTACACGGGAAGACACCCGAGGACACCAAAACCTGCATATATATATATATATATATATATATCCCCCGCCCATCTGGCTGAGTTTCTCCAGCCACTCTGGGCAGCTTCCAACCGGATATTAAAAACAATACAGCATCAAACATTAAAAACTTCCCTAAACAGGGCTGCCTTCAGTTCTCTTTTAAAAGTAAAATAGTTGCTTATTTCCTTCACATCTGAAGGGAGGGCGTTCCACGGGGCGAGCGCCACTACCAAGAAGGCCCTCTGCCTGGTTCCCTGTAACTTCACTTCTCGCAATGAGGGAACCGCCACAAGGCCCTCGCAGCTGGACCTCAGTGTCCAGGCAGAATGATGGGGGTGGAGACGCTCCTTCAGGTATACTGGGCTGAGGCCGTTTAGGGCTTGAAAGGTCAGCACCAACACTTTGAATTGTGCTCGGAAACGCAAGAGACAGAGCCGCTGGCCCAATCCAGTCACAGGGCTTCTGTCCCTCTTTTTAAGGTTTGTCAGAAAAGTCTGCAACTCTGCTTGGGAACAGTGCCAGCCCACCCCCACCCCCATCGTCAGCGTGGGTGCTCCTGTTTCCCCCAAGCTCCAACTCACAGGCCCGGGAGGAGGAAGCGGGGTTGCATGGACGAGCCCCCAGCTGAGCCCAGGGGCCACATCCAGTGGAGGAGAGTCCCCACTGAACACAATCCAGGGGGCAAGTGGGGTCCATGGCCGGGGCGGAGTGTGGGGTGGGAGATATGCCCCTGGGAGGAGGCTGGGGGTGCCTGGCAGAAGTGCCTGGAGGAATCCTAGAATCTGAAGAGCTGGAAGGGAGCCAAGGGTCATCTAGTCCAACCCCCTGAAATGCAGGAATCTTGGCTAAAGCATCCATGGCAGAGGGCCACCCAACCAGGCAAGCCGGCCTCACCTCAATGCCCTCAGAGTCAGGGCTGGGGCTCAGTTTCCAGACTTGCACAAAGGAGTCCTCCGCTGCCGACAGGAGCTGTGGGGGAAGAGGAGTCATCAGTGGGGCTGGGGCCTCCCTTCATTTAGTACTGTTTATTGAATTTATATACCGCCCTATACCTGGAGGTCTCAGGGCGGTTCACAGAAAAGATCAACATAAAAACCTCAATATATATAATCAAAATATAAATAACAACCCAATAACACCCCCCTGGCTTGGGCCTGGGGCAGCTCTCCTGGGGGGGGTGGTAAAGCTCCCTTAGGAGTGACCAAGAGCGCGTGCAAAGGGCAGCCGTTGCCAGGCAGAGGGAGCAGAAGCCCAGCCAAGAGCAGGCGAGCAGGCACCTCCTGGTGGGAGCAGCGCTGGAGAGAGCCCCTCTCTGAAATTTTGCCACCAGAGCTCCTAGCCCCTTGGCACAGGTCGTACAGATCCCTCATTAAGCCACTGAACTGTTAGTCTTTGCTATATCCGGTGGCAAGGAGTTCCACTGGTGCAGGCTCACTCCTGCCCAAACCTGGCATGTCAGTGGCCCAGTCAGAGGACGCCTTTCGCATGCGATGGAGCCTGGCTCACTCTGCCCGCTCTGCTGCACCCGCAAGGCCCTGCCCTGCTCCACTATTCCCCTCTCCTGAGAACACCCGACCTCCTCAAACACAGGACAGACCCACCTTCCCCGAGAGGGGCGCCAGGTCCAGGGCATAGATCCAGCGGGCGTGAGCGCGGACTTCCGCTCGCAGGATCCCGCTTGCTGCCTCGTACAGGCGAATGTGCCCATTGCCGTAACCAGCCGCGATGATGCCATTCCACAGCTTGACGGAGGAGCAGGTGCACCTGGGCGTGGGGTGGGGGTATTGGGTGAGGCTCCTGTGCCAGGGGGAAGGCTGTTGCCCAGGGACAAGAGCAATGGCTGGACATGCAGGGGCCCCCAGGCTTGACCCCCAGGGGCACCTCTGGACAGGACTGGGAAAGGAGCCTGGTTGGAGCAAGGACAGGCCACTGGGAGAGGCTGGGGCCAGCCTGCTTCTGCTCAGGCCCTGGAGTGGGGCAGGGCTGGGCTGGGTTCAGGGCCATTAGCCACCCCCCCCCACAGCCAGAGTGGTCAAGGCTTCATTTCCATCTCTCTCGGGGCCGAGTGCTTCCAGGAGGGCCAAATCCTTGTCCCCGGAGCAGGCCCCTCTCTTTCCGCGCTTACTCAGAAGCCGGGATCTTGTTGGCCAGCGTGAACTTCTCTCCGGAAAACCAGACGCACAAGGCTCCAGAGTCATCAGCCGTCACCAAATCAGGCACTCCTTCCTGCGGGGGGGGGGGCAGAATCAGCTCACTGCCCCCACGACGCACCCGGGCAAAGCCCACGAGGAGGCGATGCAGGACAGTCGCTCCTGCTCTAGGCAGGAAGGCAAGTGCATAGCTGGGCGCCAGGGGCTGCCGAGGGTGATGCTTGCTCCGTGTTAAAAGTTTGCAGGACTTCTGTCATGACATGACATGGCCCCCTGCCAGGGGTGCTTTAGCTGAGGCTCCTGGTGCTGGGGGTTGGACTAGATGACCTTTGGGGGACCCGTGCCTTGGCCCATGGCCTCTTGGGTTGCCACAGAAGCACCCTGCAATGACCCTCCTCCTAGGGTGCCCCCGCAGTGAGCCTGGAAAGCCAGCTGTGCGGCCTTCACACCAGGCCTTGCCAGTCACGTGGACTGGGGAGAGGGGTTGGCAGTGCCAACCGAAGCACCCCCTAACCCAGGCATACTCTGAAGGGGCATCAAAGCAGCGCAGCTGGACCTGGAAACAAACCAGCTTTTAACTCAGGCCAAAGGACCTGGGTGCAAAGCTCCTGGGGCCAGCATGGGACTCCATTGGCTTCCCAAAGAGCCCGAGGCGATAGCAGCACCCGAGGCGAGGCCATGCCCAGGCGAAGCAGCAGCACAGCAACAGCTCCCCCTGAGCAGGGGCTTTGGGGGCCCTGTGGGAGCGGCAGCTCCCGGCTCCTCCTTACCGGCTGCTCGCACAGCTCGGCGGCAATGTCGGTGATGGAGTCGCAGTGCTTCTCCAGGACTTCGCTCAGCGTGATGTTGGTGCCTTTGGCGGGGACGTCGAAGATGAGGACGGACCCCAGGGACGTCCCTGCAGAGGGAAGGCAGGCAAGGGGGTTCTGAAGCAGCAGCCCCAGGTGGGCCGGTCTCGCCTCACCTGCAGAGAGCAGCCTCCCACCTGCCCAGGTGAGCTCACCGGGGCAACCTGTTCCACACCAACCCTCCTTGCAGCCCTCTCCCAGGGGAATCGGCCTTCGTGCAGGGCAAACAAGTCCTCTGGAGTTAGATGGTGATCCTGGTTACTCCGCAAAGCAGTGCCACTAGCTATCCATTCCCACCGCCAAACGCAGGGGTCAGCAAGGTTTACCTCGCCTGGGCTGGTTCACTCCAGCAGAGATTCCTCCGTGGGCTGGATCACGATTTCTGGTGTCCGTGTCTGCACAGACGACATTTCTGGTGCAACGGAAGCGAGTCCCTGCACCGCGCCGGTTTAGTGCAGCGTGTGGGGACTCGCTGAGTGGGCGGCTCAGTTTGGGGGCGGCTCGTGAGCTGGTTAAACGACCCCCGTGGGCTGCTTGTGGCCCATGGGCCTTAGCTTGCCGACCCCTGGCCAAACGTGTCTCCGTGAAATTCAACCATGGCGCCAATCCCTTCTGCAACTGCTGCCACTGACACAGCAAAGTGAGGCTTCAGGCATGGCACGTCCTCAGGGGGTCGACTACTCTCACCCACAGCAATGGGGTGGCCCCCCTGCCCAGCAGTGACTTTGCCTCTGCTCAGCTCTCCTCCCCTGACCTCCCCCCCCCCACGTTTCCTTCCTGCTTCCTCACCTACGCAAACAAAGCGCTGCCCGGTTGCCGCGATCCCACGAGCAAACACGGCCTTCCCTGGAAAGGAAAAAATGCAGAGATCAGGCAGCCGCAGAGGCCCGGGGCTGGCTGGGGGCCTTTGCCCAAGAGCTCCCTAGGCGTGAAAGTGCACCCCTCCAAATGGGCAGGAGGCATGTGCCAGGGACGTGCCTTGCTACTCGCCCCTCATGGGTTTGGAGGTGTGCACGGCCACGTCCCCAGCAGGAGGAATCAAGGCAAATTCAGAAATGAGGTGGGCTTCTAAAAAGTTCAGCTTGGAGGCCTCTGCTTCTTCCCCTCCACTCTCTGCTTCTTCACAGAGCTGCTGAGACACAACTTCAGAGAAGACATCAGGACTGGAGGGACAGAGAAGGGGCCTACAGGAATAGGAGACAGGAGGCTTCCAAACGACAGATCTGCCCCACGGGTAACTGGTCTCCAGTAGTTAAGAAAAGTGGGTGTTTTATAGATCCTCTTTTGGAAATGTGATGTTCGTTTGCCTATAGAAGTATTTATATACTGCTGCATCATAAAAATATTTCACAGTGGTTTACATGAAACGAGCAATAGATTAATAAAAAGTTAAAAACAAGTTAAAAGCAAAAATAAATTAAAAACAAACATCGACAGAGCATTGTGGAAAGATGTACTTCTTAACGACGGGGTGAGCTCCCGTTGCTCGGTCCCTGCTCCTGCCAACCTAGCAGTTCAAATGCACGTCAAAGTGCAAGTAAATAGGTACTGCTCTGGTGGGAAGGTAAACGGCGTTTCCGTGTGCTGCTCTGTATCGCCAGAAGCGGCTTAGTCATGCTGGCCACATGACCCGGAAGCTGTATGCCAGCTCCCTCGGCCAGTAAAGCGAGATGAGCACCGCAACCCCAGAGTCGGTCACGACTGGACCTAATGGTCAGGGGTCCCTTTACTTTTTAAGCCTGGCAAAATAGAAAGGCTTTCAACAGAAGGCGCCCACTGAATCTCTAGTAGCAGCATGTTCCACAGGACTAAGGGAACTTGTACTTATTGTTGAAATGTGTGTTTTTTAAAGGGAGGGAATATCTCCTGTCTTGGACAAAGGTGGCACCTGCTATTGCTGCTGCTCGAGATAGGAAAACTCAATGGATTTTCACTGGTTGAAATATGGCAGCCCCCCTTTTGCACTCGAAAGCAGGTGCCCTTCCCTCCCTCCAAGAGGAATAGAAAGGGTACCTGGAGGTGACTCCAAGCCCTCCAGGGCGTGCCAGTAGACCATGATGGACCCGTCCGACTCGTACATCTTGGAGGAAGGCGGAAAGAGCAGAGAGAGGAAGGTGAGAGGCGCTGGAGAATCCAGCAGGCGGTTCCCAGGGGCCAGTCCACATCCCAGAAGACGGGGTCTGGAAGGTCACCGGCTTGGGGCCTTTCTAGTGCAGAGGTTTCCGTGGCCCCCGGCTCCGTTTCTCACCTGGATCCCCTTCCGTGAAGTCAGAACCAAAAGGACCCGGGAAGGGAGGACACACCAGGCAGCCTGGAAGACAAGGGTGCAGATAGAGGAAGCAGGAAGACGCCCTTCTGTGCCCCCTGCCCGCTTCCCCTCGGCCACAGAGGAAAGCACAGAGATGAATGAGGAAGGCGATGCTTCAGAGCGCGTGCAAAGCGCCTTCCAACTCTTCCCTCCCTCTGGAGCAAAGGCAGCCATCACCTGGCCCAGCACTGAGCTGTCCACCTGGGGGCCAAAGAGACCTTCTCCTCTCCCAAGCTCTGGTCTTCTGTGGACTTCCTCGTCCTCCGTCACCTGGCAGGGGTGAGGGAAGTGCCAGCCTGCTCTGCAAAAGCTGGGCTGCAAGGACGCCAGGTCCTCGAGGGACAGAGGAGGACTCCGCTCCTCAACTTGCTGGTGGCAAGGGCCGTTCAACAGTGGAAGCTGCTGGACTCTCCTTTCTTGGAGGCGTTTAAGCAGAGCAGTTGGATGGCCATCGGTCAGGGATCTTTTTGTTGTGATTCCTGTATTGCAGGGGGCTGGACTAGATGACTCCATGGGGTCCCTTTCACCGCTACAGTTCTGTGATTCTACGTCTGTGGGCAGCAAGGCAAGGAGATCCACGGAGGCTGCCTGAGATGCCACCACACCCACAAGCCACACCACAGAGCTAAAGCAGGCCTGGAAAGGTGCCAGTGACTGACTCAGTAGTGAAGGAAAGGCATTCTGCACGGTCTCAGAGGCACTGTTGTTCCGTTTGTCCCATCTGGACTGGGACTCTTGATAGAAAGATCTGGGGCTGAGTTTAAATAAAGCCCTGCACTTCACAACTACGGCGGCAAGGTTGTTGATTGCCAAAAACTGGAAACGCAGCAGCGTCCCAACTAAAACAGACTGGTTATCTAAAATGATGGAATACTTCCATATTGCCAAACTAACAGGGAGGATAAGAGGAGATATGGTCCAAAAAGTGAATGAGTGGGCTATCTTTAAGGAATACTTCAAAATTTATGTGGAGAAGGTAGAATTTCTGACAGATACTGAGTGAATCCAGAAAATGATTAGAGTGAGAGTAAAGTTAAGACAGGAGAAGAGATTAACGATATAATGAAATGTGTTTAAGCTAGTTGGAAAAATAAAGTAGCGTAACAAGAACGGCTGGAAGTCGTCACTTGGTGGGTGTCCATGTGGGGGTAGGTGTGTAGGTATGTTGATATGTACAGTATAGGTTAGTATTATATAGAGTAATGTAAGTATGCTTTATGTTATGAAAATAAGGTAGTGTGTTGTGTACATGTAAATGTATATGTATGTGTTTTATATGTACACATGTTTTATACGTTAATAAAATAGAAACAATTAAAATAAATATAAATAAAGCCCTGCATTTCTGGCCAGGCAGACTCCTCTCTGCCCCAGCCTGTTCCAATCGCCCTTTCGATCAGCATGTTCTGGGCTGGCCAATGTTGACGCCTCAGGGTGCCGATATTGGCTTCTCAGTGACAGCAGAAGAGCAGCTGCCCTGTGGGGCATTGATTGGGCAGGGAGCTGGGGACGGGCTCTCCTCCCTCCCTCCCTCCTGCCAGCCCCGTTACCTGGGTGATGATGGAGGCCCCGACGCCCAGGCTGCCCTCCTTGGCCTGCAGCTGGCGGTGGGAGAAGCTGAGGCCGTCGTCGGAGGCGCTCACCATGTTGACGGTGGTGCCATGCACGCTGGCAAAGTAGGTGAGCTGCTTGGCCGGGAGGGGCAGGACGCTCATGTTGTTGTACAGCGCCAGGCTGCTCTCCTTCAGCAAAATGCTCTTCTCCTTACGGTACATCCTGCTTGGGGGAGACTGGAGGAGGAAAGGGGGCGGGAGAGAAGGGGCATGAGGCCATGAGTCAGAGGAAGGCACCCGAGACAGGCAGCAGGACAGCTTGAGAGCCAGCCAGGTAATAATCATCATAATTTATTATTTATACCCCGCCCGTCTGGCTGGGTTTCCCCAGCCACTCTGGGCGGCTTCCAACAAAACTCTAAAATACAACAACCTATTAAACATTAAAAGCTTCCCCAAACAGGGCTGCCTTCAGATGTCTTCTAAAAGTTTGGTAGTTATTTTTCTCTTTGACATCTGGTGGGAGGGCGTTCCACAGGGCGGGTGCCACCACCGAGAAGGCCCTCTGCCTGGTTCCCTGTAACTGGGCTTCTCGTAGCGAGGGAACCGCCAGAAGGCCCTCGGAGCTGGACCTCAGTGTCCAGGCAGAACGTTGAAGTACTGGCCTCCAGGACTGGACTACAACTCCCATCAGGCCCAGCCAATGATCAGGGATGATGGGAACTGCAGTTGAGCCATGACGGGTGTCCACCTAGGACGGATGCTTCAGTTGAGATTCCTGCGTTGCAGGGGGGTGGACTAGATGGACCCTGGGGTCCCTTCCAACTCTACAGTTCTATGAAGGTCTGAGGAGACCTCCACAGGCTCTGCAGCTCCGTGGACCACCACGACCACCTGAACCGCCAGGATTGCTTTGGACATCTGCACCGTTTGGAATTTTCACCTTGGCCCCTGAGGCTGCTGGGAGCTGCCCTGGCCCCATTATTAAAATATTTGATGTTTTATTCTGTTTTTCATATTCTGTTGGGAGCTGCCCAGAGTGGCTGGGGAAACCCAGCCAGATGGGTGGGGTATAAATAAATTATAATTATTAATTATGATATTCCAGGCAAAGCGTCCCTGGGCTTCTTTTGCATACATTTAAGCTCCAACTGAAATATCAGGTGGTTATATCAGGTCCACTTCACTGCCATTTAACTCCAACGTTCCCTCCCCAAACCTTCCACACTCACGTGTGGCATCAGAATTACACCTCGAGTGTCAGGCGCTGGATTCATGCTCCACAAAGGATAACACCATAATAAATCTGCTGGACATGCACAAGATTCTTCACTGGTCTTGTTTTAAATATGCATGCATGCATTAACGAAAATGAATGCCCGCCCGCACGTATGAGGAGGGAGGGAGGGAGCAGGCCAGGACTCTGGGTGCCCCGCACTTCGTCCCTCAGGATCCGTTACCAGTTCTTGACTCAGGCTCAGCTGCACGCAAGCCCAGAGCCATGAAAAGTGGACAGGAACATCAGCGGCAGAAGCCCAGCTGCCTCCCTCTGCCCCCTCCCTGCCCTAACTAAGCAGGGCCTGATCCGCCAGAAAGTCCCTCTGCACCAGCTGGCTGGCAGGGGGCTCCAGGACGCATGGACAGTAGTTCCATGCGGAGGGAGGCGAGGCAGAGAGGGTGGGGCTGGCTCAAGGTCTGCCCACCAAAAGCCATGCCCGAGGGAGGATTTGAACCTTTTGGCTGCTGGCCCCTTATTTTCAATGGGTTAGTTGACAGCTACGCTCCCCTCCCTCTTCCCAAGGGGGCCTCCCTCCCTCCCTCCCCGCACGCCGACACCTAGCTCCTCAGGGCCGGGGGCGGGGCGTCTGGAGGCCCCGCCCACCGGGGAAAAGACACCGCCGCGCAGGGCGCATGCGCGCGCTCTCCCGCTGGGGGGGGTCCCGTCTCTTCCCGGCCCCCGCCGCCCCCTCCCCGGCCCGCCGCCGCCTCACCCGCCGCCTTCTCCGCCTCTCCCTCCTCCGTCCCGCTTGCCCCGCTGTCATGGAGACGGCGCCGGGGCGCGCTGACGTCACGACGGTGGCCGGCGGGGCGCGGGCGATTGGCGGCCCGGCGGAGTTGCCATGGCGACGCGGCTGCTGGCGGCGTCTCGCGGGGCGCGCCCGTCTCTGCGCGAAGTCTCCTCCACCTTCCTCAGCCTGGCGGTGAGGGCGCGAGGGCGCGCTGCGCATGCTCCGGGGGGGGGGGGAACCCAGGGGCCGCCATGCTGGGCGTGAGTGTCGGCGGAACTCCCCGCCTCAGGAGGCGGCGGGCCGGGCCGGGAGCGCGGGGGGGGGGTCCCCAGGGGCCAGCTAGTCCAGCCCGCCGCCTGCACGGCAGGAGCAGCTCCCCCGGCCCTTCATCATCCTCGGCATCTTCTTTGTATGCCGCCTTTCCGTAGTGAATGCTCCGGGCGGCTTACAACGCGACAAGATTTCCAGGCAGCTGAGATCCCTGCTGCAGGCAGGGGGTTGGGATGGATGACCTCTGGGGGTCCCTCTCCCCACGCCAGCCCTCTAGTCCTAGGCACACTTAGCACAGGGCCCTGCCTTGCAGGAGGTTGGAAGAGATGCTTCCAGGGCCCCTTCCCACTCCAGGGTTCCGGTTCTAAGGTTCCGCCGGCCCCGATAATTATTATTATTATTATTTATACCCCGCCTATCTGGCTGGGTTTCCCCAGCCACTCTGAGCAGCTTCCAACCGAATATTAAAAACAATACAGTGGTACCTCAGGTTACAGACGCTTCAAGTTCCAGACTCCGCTAACCCAGAAATAGAACCTCGGGTTAAGAACTTTGCTTCAGGATGAGAACAGAAATTGTGGTGCGGCGGGAGGCCCCATTAGCTAAAGTGGTGCTTCAGGTTAAGAACAGTTTCAGGTTAAGAACGGACCTCCGGAACGAATTAAGTACGTAACCTGAGGTACCACTGTACAGCGCCAGACATTAAAAACTTCCCTCAACAGGGCCTCCTCTGCTCGGCTGGTTCCCCAGGTCAGAGGCAGCCCTGCAGCGCTGGAAGGGGGCCGGGGGCCGGATTGCAGGTTTCCCACCCTGGGCCTCTGTCTGGACACCCGGGAGGCCGGGCTGGACATTGGGATCCCTCCACAGGGTCTGATCCAGCAGACTCCTCTGACGTTCCAGGGAAATTCTCCTCTGGACATCAGAGCATCAGTGGAGAAGAGCCTTCGGCTGGATCAGGCCTCTGGGTCTCCCTCTGGCCGACCAGGTGCCCCAAATGGGAAAACCACAAACATGGCCCAAGCACAAGAGCAACTCTCCCTCCTGCGGCTCCAGCACCTGGGATTCAGAGGCACGCAAATCCAATATTTTCCCAGCATATATATTTTGACTTACCTTCTCCACTGTTGCGGTTTCTTATATTTTTATTTTAAAATACTGCATTTCCGTCTATTAATTACTTCCTAATATTTCTATGGTGGGACGCGGGTGGCGCTGTGGGTAAAAGCCTCAGCGCCTAGGGCTTGCCGATCGAAAGGTCGGCGGTTCAAATCCCCGCGGCGGGGTGCGCTCCCCGCTGCTCGGTCCCAGCGCCTGCCAACCTAGCAGTTCGAAAGCACCCCCGGGTGCAAGTAGATAAATAGGGACCGCTTACCAGCGGGAAGGTAAACGGCGTTCCGTGTGTTGCGCTGCCTCGCCAGATGCAGCTTGTCACGCTGGCCACGTGACCCGGAAGTGTCTCCGGACAGCGCTGGCCCCTGGCCTCTTGAGTGAGATGGGCGCACAACCCTAGAGTCTGGCAAGACTGGCCCGTACGGGCAGGGGTACCTTTACCTTTACCTTAATATTTCTATAGCGTTACTTATAACTGCTTGTTTTACGTTGATCCTGCTAATGAACTTCTATGTATTCAAATATCCCACGAATTTCCCCCATTCCTTGATGAAAATTCCTTTCCTCTTGGTTTCTTACTTGTAACGTAGAACTGCGGAATTAGAAGGGACACCAGGGGTCAGTCATTTAGTCTAACCCCTGGAATATGTCCAACCCTCTTCTAAAGCTATCTTGGTTAGTGGTCATCACTGCCTCCTGTGGCAGCGAGTTCCGTGGTTTATCTCCCCGCCTTTCTTTCATCTCTCCTGAATCTTCCAGCCGCCCGGGCGTCTCTTCCGCATGAGCTCCAGCTGCCCTGCTCTCCCCTTGGCCTTCACCCTTGGGGTGTCCCCTGGCGATGGCCTGCAGCTTCCGTCCTCCCCCCTGACCGTTGGTCCTGCTGGTGGCGGGTGCTGGACTGCCGATCCCTTGGCGGGGGTCCCGCTAGCTGGCCCCATGGCAACCGCTGCTCTGGGGCCCTGGCGGCTTCTCTTCCCTTCAACTCCTCTCTGTTCTCACTGTTCTCAGAACAATGAGCTTTGTGGGTTCTTTGGAATGGTCTGGCGGTTGGTGGACTGGGCTTCTGCTCTGGGACTCTGCGGTCCAGAGTGGCTGCAGGTGAGCCTCCCTCAGGTGGGCAGCAGGTGGGTGGCCCTCCCAAAGGAGGTAAAAATTAGCAAAGAAAGGGGTGGAAACCCAGAAGTGCAGGGTGACCCAGGTGCTTCGGGGGGGAGGGGGGGTCTTCAGTCCCGGCGGTTTCATCACAGCTGAATTGGTTTCGGTTTGTTTCCTTTCCGGGGAGCAGAGGAGTTGGTGACGGGTTACAGGTCACTTGCATCTTGCGCATGGGTTACATTCTGGGACGCCACACACAGAATTGCGCATAGTTGAGCCGCCCCATTCGAACTGCTCCTGCAACATGGAGGTGCTGTGTGGAATGAGTTTCTTGCCGCCATGCCCCCCCAAAAAACTACAAGGTTAAAACCTCTTTTTCTCAGGGTCTTTGCAGCACAAAAGAGCTTTTAAGCTCTCTGCCATCCGTGTCTTTAATGCCCACGATTTAAACCAGTTTCGAGTGACCTGCATTTTCCGAGGATTCCGGGTGCGGTTTCTTGTAAGAACTTATTTCTTCTCGTCTTTCGTTTGCGATCCCCACTCAGGCGCTTCCAGTTCTGACCAGCAAGCGGACACGGCCGGACGCCTGGGTTCCCTCTCCAGGCCTGAGGTTGAGCCGTCACACCAGGGACACCCGGCCCCCTGCTGGCTGCTCTGCTTCTGTTTTCCTGCCACTTGAAGTCCTTGGCCCCCATCCTGTCAAGTGTTCTTCCTGCAGAGATAAGGCTGGCACCAGCTGCAGGGCCTTTTCAGAAAATTTCCCTCTTCTCCCGGACTTTCCCTAACCCTCTCTTATTTATTTCCTCGATTGTACCTTTGGTCTAAGGAGGTCTGTGAGGTGTGCCTGGCTCTCCTCTTCCTCACTGAGTCCCCAGAACAACCCTGCAAGGTAGGTGAGGCGGACAGTCGGGAAGGTCACTCACTGAGCTGGCTGAGTGGGAACTCGAACCCTGGTCTTCCAGCTCAGAGTCTGACACTCTAACCCAGGGGTCAGCAACCTAAGGCCCAGTGGAGGTTGTTTGACCAGCCCACAAGCCGCCCCAAACTGAGATGTCGTTTGCGCGCTGCACTAAACTGGCAAAGCGCGGTGCAGGGACTTGCTTCTGCGGCGCCGAAAATCACATCTGCACAGACGCAGGTGCCGAAAATTGCATCTGTGCATGCGCAGATGCCAAAAGCCACAGGCGCACACGCAATCCAGCCCATGGAGGAATCTCCGCGGGACCGATCAGGCCCAGGGAAGATAAACCTTGCTGACCCCTGCTCTAACCATTATGCTGCACAGCCTCTCCCTCCATATTGGTTCCTGGTGTCTTCAGCCATGATGGTGACTGTTGATGATTATCTTCGTTGCCAGTTGCTACACACTATCATTGCGTGAGCCGCTTTCCTTTTCTAATTGAAAAGCAGCGCAGAAATTTTTAATTACCGTATTTTTTGCTCCATAACACTCACTTTTTCCCTCCTAGAAAGTAAGGGGAAATGTCTGTGCGTGTTATGGAGGGAATGCCTACGGGTGGCGGGGGGGGGGGATCTGCTGCAGTTGTGAGCAGAGGATCCATGGTTCCCCTTCCTTCCCTCCTCCGTGGCTCGCTTTGAAACAGCAAAGTGGGAGAAGAGCCGCTAAGTGGGGAGGAGAGAGGGACAGAGAGCCTGCTTGCTTTAAAGGAGCAAAGCAGGAGAGGAGAGGAGCCGCTTACACGAGTGTAAGCGGCTCCTGTCCGGTTGGCTCCTTTAAAGCAAGCAGGCTCTCTGTCCCTCTCTCCTCCCCACTCAGCTGGCTAAATAGCAGCAAAGTTTTTCAGCTCGCTAAGCTGGGGAGGTGGGAGAGAAGCAGAGCCTGCTTGCTTTAAAGGAGCGGGAGAGGAGAGTAGCCTTCTCCTCTTATACCCCTCTTCTGCATTATTAGTAGCATCCTTCTCCACCCACCCCACGCGTGCTCCTTGTCCCTTGAGTGCTTTTCCTTCCCTCCCCACTTAAAACGTGGTTACAAAGCATGGATCCACATGGATCCTCAGGATTTCTGCACTGGGTCACCCCAAACTCACCATCATATCACATAGCACGAACTCACTGTAGCCTGGGGCCGCAGTGGTGCAAAAACGTGGTTACAAAGCATGGATCCACATGGATCCTCAGGATTTTGGCACTGGGCTACCCCAAATTCACCGTCAAATCACATGTCTGTGGCCACAGCATGAACCACAAAAATCATACACCCACTGTTTCGTTTAGAATTTTTTTCTCTCTTGTTTTCCTCCTCTAAAAACTATGTGCGTGTTATGGTCGGGTGCGTGTTATAGAGCGAAAAATACGGGTAAGTAATTAAGTTCCTGCCTTGGGTGACAAGGATCAGACAAATCTGTGGAGGAGGAGAGGGCTGTGGATGGCTGCTAGCCAGAATGCCTCTGCTCTGCAATGCTTCTGAATCACAGTTGCTGGAAACTACAGGAGGGGAGAGGGATCCCGTGTGCGAATTCTGCTTGCGGGTTTCCTATTGGGACATCTGGTCGGCCACTGTGAGATCAGGGTGCTGGACTAGATGCCCCCCCCCTTTGGCCTGCTCCTGCTGCTGCTGGTCTCTTCTCATGCTGTTCAATCCATACTCCATTGATGGGAG